TAAATAAAAATAAATAGAATAAGAAAAGGGTACTGTAACATAATATATGTTAGTATACAATGTAAACAGTCCCACAAAATAAATAGCAATAAGAACTTAGACATAATGATAAGGTAAATATAAGCGTAAATGTAAATGAAATAAACTATGTAGCACTAAAATATAAAAAAGACAAAAGAAAAGAATATAACGGGTGAAAAAAGAAAACAACTAATGATAAACAAAGTCCCTGATCTCCCATGTCAGGGGAACTAGTAATAATAAATAATAAAAAAAAAACCTAACCTAACCTAACCTAACCTAACCTAACCTAACCTTTTTTTTTTTTTTTGCATGGGGAAATGCCTACGCATACCCGCCTCGCGGGGGCAAGGACGGGTTATGTCGGACTCGCACCGACTAAAACCCCATGGTGTTCCACCTTTGTCGCATATTGGCAGGGCTACGGGAACGCTTTCGCACACATCCGCGGCCCTACTAGCGCCTGCCGCCCCATGGCAGCACCTCCTCGGGAGAGGAAAATTCCTCCCCGTTCTCCTTCCCAGGTAAGGCGCACCAGAACACATGGCGCACCTTCCTCCACGGCCTCCAACTACGTCTGTGCAACAGACGCCCCCGCGTCCGATGCACAAAGGCCATGGGGCCAGGAAAAACGAGCACTTAGAAGTACTAGCCTTCCCGACCCCAGCGGCGGATCTGGTCTATGGCTCCGCCGCCAACCAAGATTCGGCTGCGGAGGGTAGGGAAAGCGGCGCCTCGCAATACCGACAATCCTCTCCCCCCGCAGCCCCACCACCACCGCATTAACGGTGCGGCCCCGTTTGAGTCGCGAAGGATAGGGCGAGTGGCGCATCGCCATACCAACACTCCTCTTCCTCCGCGACTCCACCTCGGCTGCAACGGTAGAGGGTGCGCGAGTCCCCACTCGCTGCAATCCACCAGCACACATCCGAAGTGGGCTCCCCAAGCCCACTCGGAGCGGCCACCTCAGGCCGGCCCTTCACCTCGGGCCAGCCACGTGGGTTCCTCTTTGTTCACCGTGGGAGACCAAGCCACGGCTACTAAGCCCCCCCGCCACGACAAGGCGGGAACCCGTTCGGGGGGGGGGGGAACCTAACCTAACCTAACCTAACCTAACCTTTTTTTTTACATGGGGAAATGCCTACGCATACCCGCCTCGCGGGGGCAAGGACGGGTTATGTCGGACTCGCACCGACTAAAACCCCATGGTGTTCCACCTTCGTCGCATATTGGCAGGGCTACGGGAACGCTTTCGCACACTTCCGCGGCCCTACCAGCGACTGCCGCCCCATGACAGCACCTCCTCGGGAGAGGAATATTCCTCCCCGTTCTCCTTCCCAAGTAAGGCGCACCAGAACACATGGCACGCCTCCCTCCACGGCCTCCAATTGCGTCTGCGCAACAGACGCCCCCGCGTCCGATGTGCGAAGGCCATGGGGCCAGGAAAAACGAGCACTTAGAAGTACTAGCCTTCCTGACCCCAGCGGCGGATCTGGTCTATGGCTCCGCCGCCAACCAAGATTCGGCTGCGGAGGATAGGGAGAGCGGCGCCTCGCAATACCGACAATCCTCTCCCCCCGCAGCCCCATCACCACCGCATCAACGGTGCGGCCCCGTTTGAGTCGCGGAGGATAGGGCGAGTGGCGCATCGCCATACCAACACTCCTCTTCCTCCGCGACTCCACCTCGGCTGCAGCGGTAGAGGGTGCGGAGTCCCCACTCGCTGCAGTCCACCAGCATACACCCGAAGTGGGCTCCCCAAGCCCACTCGGAGTGGCCACCTCAGGCCGGCCCTTCACCTCGGGCCAGCCACGTGGGTTCCTCTTTGTTCACCGTGGGAGACCAAGCCACGGCTACTAAGCCCCCCCCGCCACGACAAGGCGGGAACCCGTTCGGGGGGGGGGGGGGAACCTAACCTAACCTAACCTAACCTAAACTAACCTTTTTTTTTTACGTGGGGAAATCCTCATGGATACCCGTCTGTCGTGTAGGCGTCAGACAGGTTATGCCGGACTCCTACCGGCTAAAACCCCACTGTTTACATCTCATCACCTTTTGTCAGGGCTACGGGAACGCTTTCGCATACTACCGCAATCCCGACGGCAAAAGCCCTTACAGGCTCCGACTCGATGACTTCTTCTTGTAGGGGCGTACCATCACACCGTACGCGCCACCTCGAGGCCCTGCATAATAGGTGACGGACAGCCCCAGCGTCCGCCCCCTAAGCCTCAATTACGGGGGGTGGAAGAGAGCCTGATATGCTCTTCTCCGGCGCCCAGCTCTCCGGCTGCGGATTGGGATTGTTGCCGTCTTTTCCCTCTCCCTCTCCGCAACTTCCTTTTGTGACATCACTTTTTCGCAAAACGTTACCCCAGCACTCCACGCCCTCTCGCATCCAACCATAGCTTTAATAAAAGCTGGAAGCGAGAGGTCATCCCCCACTACAGCCACGAGGTCCCGACGCAAGTTAGCCCAAGCCGGGTAAACCTCAAGTGTATGCTGCGCCGTGTCCTCGTCGCTACCACAGTGATGGCACTCAGTTGTCGGCTCTCTTCCGGTTATACGGCACAGATACTTACCAAAGCACCCATGTCCGGAAAGCACCTGCACCAGCCGGAAGGTCAGTGACCCATGCCGCCTGTTTTTCCAGTCTAACATGACCGGAAGAACAGCATCGACAGTTCTGCTTCCTGCCTTCGGATGGGCTAGACGCTCCTTCCACTTTTCAAGCACCAGTTGCCGAGTGTGGAGCAATCGCAATTGCCACTCTCTGGGAGAGGGGCGACATCCTCGGTGTCGAAGTTCCAAGCGCCAATCGTACATAGACGCAAGGAACTCCGCCTCTATATCCCAGGGTGGGGACGCCGCCAAAACGCATGCCGCCTCAAAGGAGATCGTCCGGTATCCTCGCACGACTCCGATGGCCATCGCCCTCTGGGGCCTTCTCAGGAAGACGATGGTTCTTTCCGTCAGAGCCCCAACCCATATAGGGGCCCCATATAAAGCCATGGACCGAACCACCCCCAAATAGAGACGGCGGCAATTCGCATCGGGCCCTCCGACATTGGGTAGCAACCTTTTTAAGGCAGCTGTTGCTCTCATTAGCCGGGGGGGGCCAAGCACCTAAAGTGCTCGCGGAAGCTCCAACGGCTATCCAGGATGAGTCCTAGGTACCTCATATTGGACCCAACCTGAATACGGACATCACTGACAATGATGTGGGATCCCTGTGGCGGTGCTTTTCGAGGCCTGTGAAAGCAGATGGCCTGGGACTTGCTTAATTTTAGATTTAGATTATGCCAGCACCCGGGGGAAGGTCTCCCCGCAACACCCAGTCATAACCGACGTTCCACAGAAGCGGTCCTAAAACCGAGCCTTGTGGAACGCCGCACGACATTACCCTCCTTAATATCCTGCCTTTCCGCCCAGGATAGCAGACACATCGCTCAGAGAGATAGCTCCCGATTATTCGTCTGAGATAGGGAGGCACCTTGTGGTACTTCAGTGCCTCGCTGATGGTGGCCCAGGGCATGGTGTTGAAAACGTTGGCAATATCTATAGACACTGCCAATAAAACCCCACCCCTTGCTAAAATCTCGTCCGAATGGGCCTTGACGCATTTAATTGCGTCTATCGTTGACCGACCCATTCGAAAGCCAAACTGCTGGTCTGACAAATCGGGACCCATCTCTTCGAGATGCCCGATAAGGCGACGGGCTATTATTCGCTCGAAGAGCTTATCTGCTTCATCGAGCAATACTATAGGGCGGTAGGCGGAGGGAGAATCGGCGGGGGCCCATCCTTCTTCAGAAGGACTAGCCTGCCCGTTTCCACTGTAATGGGAACCGTCCCATCTCCAGACAGGTATCAAGTAGCCTGCGGAATCGTTCCCCTAGTTCCTTGAGGGCTAAAACCCAGGCACGGCCAGGAATGCCGTCGGGACCTATCGTGTCGTGTAAAACTGGCAGCCATATTGGCGGCCATTTTGATTTGATAAAAAGTTGTATAACTTTTGATCTAGACGTCTTAGAAAGACGCGGTTTCTTGTACACGCTTAGTTGTGGTGAGCTCTACGATTTGTGATAGTTTGTGGCTCTGGATAGAGTCGACCTCCAGATTGCCAAAAATTTGGCAGGTTTGAAATAGAGGGCAAAACGCCCGTTACGGGAAGCCGTCGCTCGCGTTCCTGCGATCAGCGGTTCTCTAGATATAATTTTTTTAAATTTCGGTCTAGACTGAAACCAGATAATCGGCCGCCATCTTGGAAATCTTTAAGGCGAGATATCTCGGAAACCGCTGGTCGTAGAGCGACGCGGTTTTTTCCGTTGACTTTCCCCTGGAAAGCGCTATCGATTGGTGTTAACTGGGTGACTCTATCTAGAGTCACTGCAGAGTTCCACCGAAGAGTCGTGGCGGAAGACATTTTAGATAGCTTTTAAGTAGTTTTAGGTTGAGTAAGGGCCGTAGTATTCTACGGCACTTGATTTTTGACGGAACACTCTCCATTTTTACCCTATACAACCCGCTATTGCGGTAATTTTATTATTGACATTTTTAGTATAAATTTTGACTCTTTATTTCGACACTTTATTTTAAATGTATCTATTTTATTAATTGTTGATGCGACCTCCCTGAAAAATGGTTTTGGGACTCCGGACACCGGTCAAGCGGCCGGAAAAAGTGAACCCACCTTCAACTCCCCCCAAGATCGTGAAAAAGCTGCCAAGACAGAGTATGGAGAAGTGGGAGGGGGCGGTTCCCGGGTCGGCTTGTACGGCTGAACCGGGCGCTCCCTCCACCTCTAAGCGCAATACGTTAACCCCTGAGCGGGTAGAGAGTCCAAAGGGGGGTGGGGGTGGCTCCCGAGTCGGCTTATACGGCTGGACCGGGCGCCCCCCTCCACCTCTAAGGAAAAGACGCCGACCCCAAAGCGGGTTGAGAGTCCGAAGGGGGGGTTGAAGTGCTGGTTCACTCACCAGTGGCGACCACCGGGCAGACCAGATTGCAGCGGGCCAAGCACCATTATCTAAAGGCGAAACAGGCAGTGGACTCGTCCAGGAACCTCAGGAGGGATATCAAAGAGACCATCCTGGGGTCCCTGGACGAGCTCAAGAAACTGATTATTGAGTCCGAAGCCGACCTGAAAGCCGAGAGGGCTCGTAAGGGTGCCGGGGGCTCCGTGAAGGGGGTCTCGACGACTAAGAACGCCGACACCACATTTACGGTGCCCTCAGACTCCAGACTGAGCACCAAACTCGACGAGCACTCTCGGCTTCTCCTGGAGAGTAATGAGCGGATGAAGGCTCTCCAGGAGCAGTTCACTAGGTGCAGCAGGTCGGCCGAGGACCAACAGCGTAGTTACGCCTGCGTGGCTGCTGTGAGGCCGCAGCAGCCAGCGAGACCCGCTGCTCTCCACTCGGTGGTTGTCACCTCCAAGGACGAAGAGGACACAGGAGAGGAGGTCCTTGGAAAGGTGAGGAAAACCCTAAACGCGAAGGAGGGATGGGTTAAGGTCGAGCGGGTCCGGAAGGCCAAAGACCGCAAGGTCGTCATGGGCTTTAGCACTGCCGAGGACCGGAGAAAGGCCAAGGAGAGATTCGCGAAGGAAGGGTCGGGCCTCAACGTCGAGGACGTCAAAAATAGAGACCCGCTTCTGATCCTTAGAGGTGTCCTAACAATCAACACCGATGGTGACATTTTAAAGGCCCTAAGGAACCAGAATCGGGACCTCTTTGACGGCCTCGGCCCTGGGGATGACCGACTCGAGGTAAGGTATCGCAGAAGGGCTAGGAACCCGCACGTGGCCAACGTGGTCTTGAGTGCGTCGCCCACCCTCTGGGCGAGGATAACCGGCGTGGGCTCGGTTCACATCGACCTCCAGAGGTTCTCAAAGTCCTCCAGACGAACCTCCAGCGCAGTAAGTTGGCACACTCCGAGCTGCTGATCGAAGCCTCTAACCAGCGTGCGCGGTTTGCTCTGGTACAGGAGCCATACGTCGGCGGAACAGGGCGTGTGAAGAGTCAAAATGGGATCAGAGTCTTCCAGTGTGCGGACCATGGAAGTGAGACTGTAAAGGCCGCGATCATAGTTTTTGACGCGGACCTTCACATGACACAGTACCCGAAACTCACCACGACCAACATCGCAGTGGTGGGGATCCGAGTCCGCAACTGGGAGATCATCCTGGTTTCATTTTACTTTGAGCCCGACCTGCCGATGGACTCGTACCTAGCACACCTGCGCCGGGTGCAGCGCGAGACGGGAGCTAGGAGTGTTATGATTGGGGGCGACTCCAATGCCAAGAGCGTCTGGTGGGGGAGTCCCGTGACAGATCGCCGCGGCGAGGAACTGCACGGCTCACTGGAGGACCTCGGGCTCTGCATCCTGAACCGAGGGGAAACCCCTACATTTGACACTATCCGGGGCGGCGTAAGGTACAGCAGTTATGTTGGTATAACTGCCGTATCGCCAGACCTGTATAGCTTGGTGGACGACTGGCGCGTGCGCGAGGACTTGACCAGCTCGGACCACAATGGCATATCCTACACATTAACGACAAGGCATATCAACAAGAATTTTATCAAGCACACCACAAGAATATATTACACTAAACACGCAAATTGGGCCCAGTTTCGTGAGAAACTGGGTCAAATTATCAATAGAGAAAACTTTACATTAGATTACATTAAAAATTTAACACACGGTTCACAATTAGATAACACAATCACAAAATACAACACATTAATAGCCGAAGCACGTGCCTCGTCTATTCCGCCAATCAAGCGCAAGGATGTGTTGAATATGCCATGGTGGAACGAGGGGTTGGCAGCGCTAAAGCGCGAGGTGGCCACCAAGAGATGCAGGATTCGGTGTGCAGCGCCGGTTAGGCGTCGAAAGGTAGTTGGGGAGTACCTCGAGGCGAAGGAGCGTTACGAGACCGAGGTAAGGCAAGCGCAGACGCGCAGCTGGGTCTCCTTCTGCGAACGCCAAGACGGGGAATCGGTTTGGGGGGGTATCTACCGGGTCCTCGGCAGAACCTCCAGGAGAGACGAAGACCCACCGCTGGTGGTAGACAGTGTGGAACTAGACGCCAGGGGCTCGGTGAGGCATATGGCCGAAACCTTTTACCCGGAGGACTCCGAGGGGGATGACTCCGAGGAGCACCGAAGGGTGAGGGTACAAGCTGAGCTATTTGACGTTGAAACTTCTTCGGAATTGACGGACCCGCCTTTCACTCCTTTGGAGTTGAAATTGGCCTGCCGGTCCTTCAATCTGAAGAAGGCTCCAGGCGCGGACGGTTTTACCGCCGATATATGTTTGCACGCGATAGAATTTGACCCCGAACTCTCACTCGCTCTTTTCAACAGGTGCCTCGAACTCCGGCATTTTCCCGAGCCCTGGAAGGAGGCCACGGTAATCTTCCTCGGCAAGCCGGGGAAGATTGCTTATACGACACCACGGTCGTATCGGCCGATCGGTCTCCTTCCGGTTCTGGGGAAGGTGCTGGAGAAAATGCTTGTCGCCAGATTAAAATATCATATAGCGCCCAGGCTCCGCACCCGCCAGTTTGGCTTTATGCCCCAGCGGAGTACCGAGGACGCCTTCTATACACTAGTTGAGCACATCAGATTAGGTTTAAAAAACAAAAAGTTGATGACGCTTGTGTCACTGGATATAGAGGGCGCCTTCGACAACGCTTGGTGGCCACGTATCAAAATCAGACTGGCGGAGGAACGAGTGCCGTTTAACATCAGGAGGCTCCTGGGCAGCTACCTGAGCGGCAGGCATGTTCGCGCACGGTACTGCGGGGAAGAGCGCGTGAGGGAAACCGGGAAGGGTTGCGTGCAGGGGTCTATCGGTGGGCCGATTTTGTGGAACCTCTTGTTGGATCCACTGCTTCGCGAGCTGGAGGCTAGACATCACTATGTGCAGGCATTCGCTGACGATGTGGTGCTGGTCTTTGAAGGTGAGACGGCTCATGAGGTCGAAAGCCGTGCTAATGCCGCCCTCGAGCATGTGAGGGAGTGGGGAGTCCAGAACAAACTGAGGTTTGCGCCGCACAAGACCAGTGCCATGGTCATCACGCGCAAACTGAAGTATGACACCCCACGCCTCCACATGGGCGGGGTCGACATTGGCATGGTCGGAGAACTCAGGTTACTGGGAGTCGTCCTAGACCAGCGCCTGACCTTCAACACGCACGTCGCGAATGTGTGTAAGAAGGCCGTAGCCTTCTACGCCCAGCTTTCGAGAGCCGCGAAGGCGAGCTGGGGCCTCCACCCCGAAGTTATCCGCGGTCTCCGCATCCCGCTCAGCATATCGACCTGGAGTTCAAGTGCCTGGCGGGCGAGGAACAACTCGCGGTAAATATTGACCACGAACTTAATATCTACACGGACGGCAGTAAGATTGAGGGCAAGGTGGGTGCGGCGTTATCCATATGGAGGGGCGCCGCCGAAACCAAAACCCTCAAGCTTACTTTGCCGTCCTTTTGCACCGTCTACCAGGCGGAACTCCTGGCGATATGCAGGGCGGCACGGACGGCCGCAGATAACTCGGCCAGATCAATCGGAATTTATTCTGACTCTCTGTCGGCACTGCAGACAACGATAAATCCAGTTGCCCTCCACTCCCTGGCCGTCGAGGCGCGGGGCCACCTGCACAGGGCTTCGATACAGGACAAACTTGTCAATTTGTTCTGGATCAAAGCCCACGCGGGACTAGAGGGGAATGAGCGTGCCGACCATCTGGCCAAGGAAGCTGCGCTAAAGTCTAAACGCAGTTTTGACTATGACAGCTGCCCGGTTTCATTCATCAGGCGAAGCATTCGTATGCGATCGCTTGATGAATGGAACCAACGATACTGGGCTGGTGAAACAGCCGGTGTCACCCGGGTCTTTTTCCCGGACGCGATAGCCGCATACCGTGTCATAGGTAAAATAAAGGTGGACAGATTTGTCACTCAGGTATTGTCGGGGCACGGTGGATTCTCCGAGTACTTGCATCGTTTCAAGTGTAAGGAAAGTCCATCGTGCGTCTGTGATCCTGCGTGTTCGGAATCTGTTCTCCACGTCCTCCTGGACTGCCCGGCCCATGACCGTGAGAGGCAGGAGCTGGAGTTCTTATTGGACTGCAAACTGGAATTAAGTACGCTTCCGGATATTGTACTGGGTAAAAATAGAGACTTGTTCCTCAAATTTTGTATAAAACTGTGCATTGCTGTAAATAAAAGAAATAGAGTGTAAGTTATGCTAAGTAATTATATTGATATATAAATAATTTTAGCATAAATAAATTGTAATTAGGAACATAGTTTTAAGTTAGCATTAAGTTGGTTATTAGTCTTATATAGAATGTTGTTATTCATATGAGAAAAATTGTTAAAATAAAAATGTAGTCAATACCTAATGTCCTGTTGCTTTACTCCTGCCTTATATAAAAAATTGTTTTTAAGATACCCAAAGTATGTTATGGAATTGTTATGTTTAGACAGTTAGTTTAAGGTATCTAGCCTTGTTGTATAATAATTTGCTATCTTATTATTAGTTTATAAAAGTCGTAAAAATTAGTTTACTATGTATATTAGTTTAGATACTGCAAAATGTTGAATGTAATTAAAGTTTTATTGTTCCCCCCTTCACTGTCCCCGCCCCCCTTTGTGTTTCAATTAGAATGTAAGTACACTATGGCCTTCAGCCCATGATTGAAAGATGATGTAAGCGAGATGAAAATGGGATGCTGAATGGCTGACGAGCAGAGTATAAGATATGATGTATGAATGAGTTTTTGAAGATAAATAAACAAACAAGATAATAAAGACAAATTGTAAAAACAGTCTCCCAAAGTCTCAGGGAGTTCTAATAAAAAAAAAAAACCTAACCTAACTCAGTATACCTCGAAATCTCAGCATAGAAGCATCTGCTCCGCGAAAAAAAAATACAATAAAATTAGTAAAAGTATCGGAAAGTGATTAAAAGTTATAAATACTAAAAGTGCTTAGTGCAGTTCACACGTGTAATTAAAATCAACTCTCCACTCAACCAGGTTCCGGAACAACAAGCTACCAAATTTGGGCCCCTCCCCAGCGGCCGTTAAACAAGGTACATATTTTCTAATAAAGTGATTGCGTAACTTGTCATAAGATCTATTAAACTGCGCAAAAATCATTAAAATTTTCCAAAAAGTGAAGAAGTTATAAGCAATTGAATCTTAATGAAACCACGTGCTAAATAACCTACAAACCACGTGTTTGCTACCACCACGTGGTCGCAAGAAGCAAAGACAATATTAATAGGGCTCCAAAACCAACTCGAAGACAGCCGGGTGCTCCGGACCAGGAAAAAAAAAAGAAAAAAGAAAAATATCAGCATCTTCAAGCACTCGACGGCGTGTTCAATTTGAAATAAACTACTAACAAGTGACGTCACCCACAGCACATCCTAAATTTCAACTTACCTTTAACCAAACGTCGGTACCCCCCTCGAGCATACACCCCCTCAGCAAAATACCCCTCCGCCATTTACTCCCGAACAGGACATCGTAGAGCAACGCGCGACGGCTCATTGAAATCAGGGAAAAATTCCCTATAATTTGGCTCCTGAGATTATCCTACCAAACCTCCTCCCCCCTCCCCACGACCCCCCACAACCCCCCCCCCCCAACACAAAATCCACTCAACTTACCATCTTTGAACGACACTCGAAAGGTCGGTAACCCCCCCCGAAGAACATACCCCCTCAGCAAAATACCCCTCAGCCTCTAACTCTTGAACGGTACATCGTAGATCAACGAGCGACATCTCATTGAAATCAGGGGAAAATTCTCTATAACTAAGATGTGACGGATTATTCTCCTCAACCCCCCCCCCGTCGACCCCCCCCTCACCAATTGAACTTACCTTATTTGAACGACACACGAAAGGTCGGTACACCCCCCCCCTCAAGCACATACCCCCCAGCAAAATACCCCTCAGCCTCTAACTCTTGTACGGTACACCGTAGATCAACGAGCTACGACTCATTAAAATCAGGGGAAAATTCTCTATTGCTTTGTCACATTTTCTAAAAAAAAAAAATCGTAGCTTCCCGTCACAACATACCCCTTTTAACAGCAACTTTCCCCTTCTGCACTGAAAACGGAATAACCGAAAACTGAAGATTCGTCTCAGGGTCCTCACACAGCAGAAACATCAGCAGAATCAGTAGCAGTAGTATATTTCAATATATAAGGATAATTGTAAAAAAAAAAAGCATTTGTAAACAATAAGATTAAAATATATATATATATATATATATATATATATATATATATATATATATATATATATATATAACATACAACATTAAAAACATAGTATAAAAATACAACAATAAACAGCGACCATGTCACAACAAAACAAAAATCAAAACGCTCAGGCCCTGGAGGAGGCCACCACATGGTGATTGCCGGCCACTACTGGTGCCACTTCGTCTCGCCCACCTTCGTCACAAAAATCCACACAATCTCTAAGGAGAAAAGTATTCGTCAAAGTCTCAATGGCTAGATCTTCAGTAAGCGAAGATTCAGATGTATCTCTCACTAGCGTCGAAAAACCTCCAGCGATAGATGCAAAGATCGCTGCCTGGCCTCAGGTAGAGATCCCCCCTCGTCCAATCATCTCAGACGAGGACTCATCTGCATCAGAATCCTTTACGTCTGAACCAAAACGCCTAAGCATAATACGAACAACGGCGAGACATGGAGGAGTCGAAATGGACTTGGCTACTAAACTGGCCAACGAGATGTTACAGAAGGGCAAGGAGGCGCTGGAAACAGCGGGTAATATGAAAAGGGAGTGCAAAACAACGGCACTCGAATGCCTTCAGAGTCTATATGAGACGGTACTCGCCCTCTCGGACTCGAGATCTAGGCACAAGTACAATTTGGAGAAGGAAAATCTAGGCATGCCCAAGAATTTATCAGAATGGAGCGAGCCCACACAAAGGAGATAGCAGAAATAACAGCTAACCTTCCCACGGAAATAGGGAACGCCCGCAATGACATCTCGGAGGCCAAGGATATAGCTAGGTCAATTCGAGAATGGCTGGGATACGAGACCAGAGAACCTCACAGGATCATTGGAGAAATAGGAAATTCTATAAAGGCTTTAGACAAAAAATTGCAGGATCTTTCCGACAGCTTCACCAGTCAAATTATTAAAATATCAGAAAAGAGAGCACCGGAGGAACGACAAAACCTTCTAAAGACTTTAGAAATTGTCACAAGGCAGCTAGACGAACACCGGCGAGAACTCAAAGAAATCAAAGACCAAACAACGCTCGTCCAAAATAGCAGTACAAAAGCCATAGAAATTCTAACCACACAGTCTCCACCCCAATATGAATGCAACGACAAACGGCAGTGGGATGATATAAAGACTGATATTTTGCAGGAAATTAAAAATATAAAATACACACAAACGCAAGATACATTTGACAACTACCCCAGCTCCTTAACATTAAACCTTAGTGAACATCTACAGCCCCTCACCGAACGTCTGGAAGCAGTTTCGTCGGAACTAAAAACCATACGTGAACTTCGGCAGAAAACGCCACCACCGGCGATAAGCCTTAGTACGGAGCTTGCGCTGGCAGAGATGGCCAAGAGTACCAAATCAATTCCGACATATGCTCAAAAAGTGAAAAAAAAGCCTGTATTGAGGCCCAACCACACCTTGATCGTTTCGTCGACGGATCCCAACAAAACAGGTGAGAATGTCATTGAAACGATCAGGGAAGCACTTGATATAAAGAGGACTGGAGCAAGAGTAGAAAAGATAAGGAAAGCAAGGAACCGAAAGGTTGTTTTAAGCTGTGGCACTAAAGAAGATCTGGACCTGATAAGAAGTCAGGTTAAGAAAAATGAAACACTCAAGGCAGAGACTCCAAAAATGAGTAATCCACTTATAAAAATAAAAGACGTATTATCATATCATACTGATGCCGAGATCGTGGAACAGCTGCGAGCACAGAATAAGCATCTGTTCCAGGATCTCAAGGCGACTGAAAACGTCATGAGGGTTCGGTACAGGAAAAGGGCGAGAAACACGCACGAATGTCACCCAATCATAGAACTCTCTCCAACACTGCACCGGCGTTTCTTAGAAGCCGAAAAAATCTATATAGGCCTACAAAGAAGACCGGTAGAAGACCAATCCCCCCTTGGTGCAGTGCACAAAATGTCTGGGCTTCGGTCACACCAAAAACATCTGCCAGGAAAAAGAAAATCTCTGCAGCTATTGAGGAGAAAACCACCCCTGGGAAAAATGCACAAACAGATTAGAGGGAAAGGCTCCTAACTGCAAGAACTGTTTGAGGGCACATGGCAAAAACTCACTTTCCCCACACAATGCATTTAGCAATGAGTGTCCTGAGAGGCAAAAATGGGATAGCATAGCGCGGTCACGTATTTCATACTGCTAAGGGCAGCCAAGATGACAGAAGCTCACATTTCCCAAAGACAGACACTCACAGCATGCACATCATTCAAGCAAACCTACAAAGATCAAAACTAGCGACAACAGAATTACTACAGGGAGCAAGGGAAAGGAGAGTTTCAATAGCCCTCGTACAAGAACCATACGTGGGCAAAAGTGGTGAAATGAAGTTGACCACCGGTACAAAAATCATCCAGTGCACCCTTAAGCGCCAAAAACCCGTGAAAGCGGCAATCATCATTTTCGATGACAGATTTGGGGTCATACATGACCCGCAATTGGTGACCGAAACAGAGGTGGCGGTACTCCTGAGGGCAGGAAAGATGAGATTAGGAATAGTGTCTGTCTACTACGAAGGAGACCAAGACATAGAGCCCTACTTGGTACGCACAAAAGTGGCTTGCGAGAAACTCCAAACCGAAAACCTTCTGGTCGGTGGGGATGTCAACGCTTGGAGCCACTGGTGGGGAAGCAGCCATGAAGACCAAAGAGGTGCAGCTTACAACGCCTTCCTAAACGAAATAGAGCTCCACATTCTCAACACCGGAGACGCACCAACATTCGAGACGTATAGGGGAAACAAAAAAATACACAAGCGTTGTTGATGTCACAGCGTGCAGCTTGTCGCTACTAGGAAGAATAGACGGCTGGAGCGTGGATCGGGGACTCACAACATCAGACCATAATGCCATCACTTTTACTCTGCACTTAGACGAGCAACTAACATCATTCGAGTCTAATACCACGCGCAAATACAACACCAAGAAGGCGAACTGGCAGGAATTTAAAACAAATTTAAAAATCTCCCTAGCGGGAAAAAATATAACACCTGATAGCATGGACCAAATTTACACTCAAGAGGAACTGGAAACCAAAATTACCGTCTATACAGAAGCCATCTTGGATGCTTGTGATAAATCTATTCCAAAAAAGGCGTATGGAAGGCAAAAAGCAGGCCTCCTTGGTGGTCCAAAACCTTAGAAAACCTAAAAAGAGACGTCCTGCGAAAGAAAAGGCGAATAAGAAACGCCGCTCCCATTAGAATGGCATCCGTTATAAAAGACTACTGTACAGCTAAACAGGAATATGTAGAAAAAACCATTGAAGCACAAACAAGTAGCTGGAAAGAGTTCTGCTCAATGCAAGAAAAGGAAAGCCTGTGGGATGGAATATATAGAGTTATAAGAAAAACTACCAGACGACAAGAAGATATGTTACTGAGAAGTGTCGAAGGTGACACCCTTAATCCGGAGGAATCGGCTAAGCTTCTGGCAAGCACTTTTTATCCAGAAGACTCTGTTGCGACTGACAAGTCCTACCACATAAAAATCCGAAGACTGGTACAAGACAAAAAACCGGAGGACATAGAAGACCTCTCTGAGGAAGATCCAGCTTTCACCCTGGCCGAACTGGAGACAGTGTTGAAAGCATTAAACCCAAAGAAAGCTCCAGGCCAAGATGGCTTAACTTCAGATATTTGCACTGTAGCCATCCAAAGCGAAAAGGAGGTATTCTTGGCGTCTTTGAGTCTTATTCTGAGCGCCTTCTAGGCTGGACGTGTGCCGCAATATTGTCCGATTAGAGTAACTTTACTAAATAATTTTGAATTCTCTGTAATTGTGCATTCTGAGTGAAATTCGCTTGAGACCTTATCGCGTGTGACGTTTGAGAGGACCGGTCCTCCGTCCCTGTCTCTACTCTGTCGGAAGTTTTCGACGGTCTTCGACACAGACATCGCGCGAAGTAGAAGTGACGAGTGTGCACACTTTTCATTCACACCTTTAGTGTTTGCTCCACACTCCTCGCTCCTCGCTTGGATTTGCTACCTACCTCCTTTCTCGCAACACCTGATAATATGAGCGTACAAAGGAGTCCAACCAAAACCAACTCACAGCCGGATTTATCGAAGATAAGCGATGGTGACTTCCTAAATATAACTGCAAGAAAATGGAAAACGCCCGACTGTCACTGCAACCAACAGCAACTCATGGATGATTTTTGTAATAAAATGATGACCACGCTCACAGCAAAGCTGGATTCTCAAAACAATACCATAAAGGGTGTTTTGAATGGCATTCGCGAGGACATCAATTCATTTAAGAAAGAGGTTAGTGATGTAAACTCTTCAATAAAAAAATTGGCTGACGAACAAGCTATTGTGATAAAAGATGTTTGCGAGTTGAGTTCCACAACAGCTTCAATTACCCAGCGTGTTGATTTAGTTTCAAGCGAGATTTCCGAGCTGCGATCCATTACAACTAACCTTACTGACCAGCTGAAAGCGAAGGAGCAGCTTGGGAGGATTAATAACGTGGAAATTTCTGGGATACCACTCTTAAAAGGCGAAAATTTAACTAATATTATACATAATATCGCTACAAAGGTCGGTTTTACATTATTGCCAACAGATATTGATTATATTCACCGTGTCCGACGTTTCAACTCGACGAGGAACGAAATCCCCAGAAAACACGATAGCAGTACCTCTCAAGACTCATCTTCCATACCGAACATTATCATCAGATTCTCACAAAGGTATCGCAAGAACGAATTGCTGAGTGCCGTGCGCGCGCGACGAGGATTAACAACTGCTGACGCAGGTCTAAGCGGGCCCACCGGTCCCATCTACGTCAATGACCACCTCGCGCCGCACAACAAACAATTATACAAACAAACACGCCTTCTTGCCAAACAGAAAGAATACAAATACGTGTGGTTGTCTGACTGTAAGATTTTATTGCGTAAAAATGATACGTCTAAAGTTCAACTTATATCATGCCATGCGGATCTATGTAAAATTAAATGACTGTATGTCGTTATCTATTTTAATGTCTTGAAAGGAATTTTTTTTTTGTTACAAATACTTATATACTAAGACAACATTACCTATTAAAAAGTGTTGTAAAATATATTTCTCACGAAACTTTAAATACTGTTATTGCTGTCTTCTATTATTTGTGAATGTTAGTGGAACCCATAATATTTCATTCTGTGATATCACTTTGCCGTATATTCTATATAGTGGTTTATAAAAATAATTTATAAACCACTATATAGAATATACGGCATTGTCTATTTACTACCAAAACGTGAGAGGATTACGCACAAAATCACACGATTTTCTGAAGAATGTTCTGTGTAACAATTATGATGTGGTATGTGTCACTGAATCATGGCTTAATAGTAATTTTTATGACAGTGAATACTTCGACAGTCGATACGAGGTTTACCGATGTGATCGCAACGTTACGGTTAGCGGTCGCGGGATGGGTGGCGGCGTACTGATCGCAGTGCGGTGCAGCCTATGCCCGTCGCAGCTCCATCATGAGTGCTCGCCGATGCAGGCAGAAGAGGTTTGGTTATCTATCCCATTAATTGAAACATTGTCGCATGCGGGCTGCGTGACGTCATCGCACGAGTCTAATACTCGATCGCCGGCCCAGCGCCGCTTACATATTATAGCAACTTATATACCCCACGGTTGTAACCACGAATCACAATTGACATCGTTCTATAACAGAGTAAGCGATTTTATAATCTCAAATCCCGACGATACTTATCTAATACTGGGCGACTTTAACGTCACTTACGCTGACTGGTATTTTAATTCTTATAGTGATTGCATGGAAATACGTACAAACATTAATAGTCTCGCATGTCTTACTACCGATTTTATGAATATATCGTCACTATTACAATGCAACAATCAATTTAATATTAATAATAGATTATTAGATTTAATTTTTAGTAATACAACATGTAATGTTATGCGTCCTGAATTTCCGTTAGTACCCGAAGACGTGCACCACAAATCCCTAGAAATTAGTTTGAATTTAAAATCCCCCGCCCCATTACCCTCCGCCAAAATTAAGAAAAAAAACTTTCATAATGCTGACTTTGGCTTGATAAAAACTGGACTTAACACTGTTAACTGGGAGGAAGTTTTTAATACCATGACGGATATTGATTCAATGACGAGTTATTTTTATAAAATTTTAAACAATTTGATAGACACATATGTACCTACTCAAAACCTTTGTAGCGCAAACAAACGCCCGCCGTGGTTTACTTCTTGTCTCATAAAACTAGAAAAGGAAAAGCTTAAATATCATAAGAAATGGAAACTTTATAACAACTTACGAGACTACCAGACCTTCTCTTGTCTTCGGAAGAGGTTTAAGAGGATGGAGGCAGAATGTTACAAAAAATTCATTGAACTTTCTGAGGATAATATCAAAGCCTGTCCAAAGTTATTTTGGTCTTTCGTAAAGTCAAAAAAAGCTTCAAGTTGCATTCCTGAAAAAATGATATATAAGGACAAAATTCTTTCCACTGGCCGTGAAATATGCGAGGCTTTTAATGATTATTTTCATTCAGTTTTCATCCCTTCTACCCGTCAAAGTTCTGATAATACTATTTCTTACTCAGGCAGTTCACCCGTAGATATACATTCTATTAACATCTACCACGATAATGTTATCAAAGAACTGAAACAAGTAAATATTCATAAAGGTGCAGGGCCCGACGGGATCCATCCTCTTCTCATATCCGAATGTGCCGAAGAACTTGCAACACCCATTACAATCATATTTCGTTTCTCTGTCCAAACTGGGACATTTCCCATTTTATGGAAAGAGTCTTTAGTAACCCCCATTCCAAAAAATAAAAGACGTGAATGTATAGACGAATACAGACCTATATCGAAACTTTGTATCTTTGGCAAAATCCTAGAAAAGATAGTAACCGCTCAAATGTCGTACTCTTTCCGTAATCACATTTCCCAGGAACAACACGGTTTCTTTAAGTGCCGTAGCGTTGACACCAATATGTTAACTTTTATAGGTCTTTTATAGCAAAGGGGAAAATGGAGTGAGTTTCGTGAGAAACGGGTTTGGAATAGTAAAACATTAAACAAAATAGCAATAGATAAAATTGAATCAAAAGAACAACTTGAAACAAAAATAGAGGAAATAACACAAACACTAACGGAAGCATGTAATAAACACATACCTAAATTGGAAAACAAAAAGCGAATGGGATTGCCCTGGTGGACCGACGAGTTAACACAGTTCAAGAAGAAAGTCTCCAGGCTAAAACGTCGAATATCATGTGCAGCACCAATTCATCGGGAATGGGTTGTAGAACGGTACCTCAGCGCAAAAGAGGAGTACCAACGAGAAGTGAAAAGGGCCCAAACTTCTAGTTGGACGGAGTTCTGCAGCAAACAAGAGCGGGAATCAATGTGGGACGGGATTTATAGAGTCATAGGCCGTACAACCAAGAGGCAAGAGGACATTCCCTTAATCGTAAATGGCATAACCATGGGAAATCAAGAGTCAGCGAAGATTGATGTGGTCTGCGTCTAGTTTTAACCCCAAAAAGGCACCTGGGAAGGATGGTCTCACGGCGGATATCTGCTTAAAATCTATTTCACTGGACCCGGCAATGTTTTTGGCAATAGCCAATAAATGTCTTAAATTAGGAAAGTGTGCCAGACACTTTCCTAAGAAATGGAAAGAGGCGGTTGTAGTGGTGCTGCGAAAGCCTGGGAAAGAGAACTACATGCATCCCAAATCCTACAGACCTATTGGACTGCTGCCAGTGCTCGGGAAAATCTTCGAAAAAATGTTAATCCAAAGAATAAAATGGCACATTGTACCCACACTTAGCCGGAGACAGTACGGATTTATGCCACAGCGTAGCACCGAAGACTCCCTCTATGACATGATACAGCTAGTAAAAACCAAGCTTGAAGACAAAAAGATAGTATTATTAATATCCTTGGACATAGAGGGAGCCTTCGATAACGCATGGTGGCCTGAAATCAGATGCAGATTGGCAGAAACTGGTTGCCCAATTAACTTTCGACGTCTCACTGACAGTTATTTCGAGGATAGAAACGTTTGCATTAGGTACGCAGGAGCAGAACACACGAAAGCCACTGCTAAGGGGTGTGTGCAGGGCTCAATAGGGGGTCCTATATTTTGGAACCTGTTGATCGACCCTCTTTTATATGAACTGACCGAAAAAGGGGAATATTGCCAGGCTTTCGCAGACGACGTGGTCCTCATTTTCTCCGGGCTAGGGCATTTGAAGTGCAGGATCGGGTCAACGCTGCCCTCGCGCATGTTCAGAGGTGGGGAGTAAGAAATAAGCTCAAATTTGCACCAAATAAGACCAAAGCGATGGTGATAATCAAAAAGATAAAATATGACTCACCACTTCTGAAGATGGGCGGGGAAAATATTGCGTTGTCCACAGAAATAAAAATATTGGGATTTACCATAGACGCCAAGTTGACCTTCAACACACACGTAAAAAATGTGTGTTGCAAGGTACAACGTTTGTATTGTCAATTAACAAGAGCTGTCAAGATTGGTTGGGGCCTGAACCCGGAGATCATTAGGACCATCTACGTAGCGATAACGGAGCCGATCATATTATACGCCGCTAGTGTATGGGCAGCGGCCACATACAAACAGAGCGTTAAAAAGCAGCTCAACATGGCACAACGCGGGTTCATTCAAAAGATCATAAAATCATATAAAACCGTCCCTCCACTCGGCCCTACTACTCGCTGGGTTGTTTCCTTTGGACCTCAGGGTTCGGGAAGCAGGCTTACTTTATGAAGTGAAGAAAGGTTACTCCCAGCGGATAGTAGGAGACCGGGAAGTGGAACGGAAACTAGAATACGCGAAGACACCTCACCCCGCGAATCAGGTTGGGCTGCAGTTTGTCTAAAAATAAGGGTCTAAAAATCTACACAGACGGAAGTAGAATTGAGGGGAAAGTCGGCGCTGCGTTATCCATTTGGAGTGACGCGGCGGAGATAAGTAGCCAAAAATTCAAACTAGAAGACTTCTGCACTGTCTACCAGGCGGAGTTGCTGGCCATATATGAAGCAACAAATTATGCCCTAAAAAGTCTGACACCGAGCTGCAATATCTATAGCGACTTAAGATCGGCTCTCCAGACAGTTATCCAGAGCGTTTCGCTCCATCCCCTAGCGGCGAAAATTAAAAAAAATATTTCGGAAATAAATAAAAAAGGAAATTTTTTTAAATTGTTTTGGATAAAGGCACACGCAGGGCTGGAGGGAAACGAGAGAGCAGATGAGTTAGCAAAGGAAGCCGCCCTAAAATTAAAACGAAAACCGGACTATGATAGGTTTCATTCATCAAGCGAGAAATCCGTTTTAATTCGCTTGACGAATGGAACCGACGTTACGTGGAAGGCGAAACCGCCTCCGTAACAAAAGTGTATTTCCCAGACGCTTTGAGCGCCTATCCCATTATAAGAAAAATAAAAATAGACTCGCTCATGGTACAGGTGATGACAGGACATGGCGGGTTCTCAGAATACTTGCACCGCTTCAAGTGTAAGGGGAGCCCGGCATGTACCTGCGATCCGGTAAAAGAGGAAAGTGCGATGCATGTAATTACGGAATGTCCAGTTTATAGTAAAGATAGGAACGACATAGAGGTGGAAATACAAATGAAAATAAGCAAAGACGACATATGTAACATAATGAGAAACAAGCATATTAGAAATAGGTTTTTAAAATATTGTAAAATTATAACTAGTAAAGTAGTACATAAGAATGAGTGAAAGTATAAAAAGGGAACTGCAAATTATATATAGAAATATAATGTGAACAGTCCTGTTAAATTTGTAAAACCAACTAAATTAAAAGTAGATTAAGATATAATGATAAGTAAAATGTATTAGCAAAGTAAGACATATGTAAAATAGAAATAAGAACACTATTGTATAAAAGAGAAAAAATCAATAAAGAAAAGAAAAAGAAGTGAAATAAAAAATATAAAAAGAAGAAAAAGTCCCTGATCTACATGTTTATGTATGGTTAGGGGGAACTAGTAAAAAAAAACCTAACCTAACCTAACCGTGTACAGAGAGACGATGCGTTGGAGCGATTAAAATCCGCCCCGGCTGTTACTGCCGTACCTGCGCGTAAAATGAATCCTATGATTATATTCAAAGGAATCTCTCACGATGTTCCATCTGATGAGTTAGCTGATATCATTGCCGGACAAAACCAAGAACTCGGAGAACTTATTGAAAACAAAGATGACCTATGCCTTCGATTCAAAAGAAAAAATAGAAATGATAAACTATACAACGCGGTATTTATATGTAAAACACAGATATGGCGCAAAATAATTAACTTGGGTAGAATCAACATTGATCACCAACGAATTCAAGCCGAGGACTTTTCACCATTTATACAGTGCTTTAGGTGTCTGCAATTCGGTCACGTCCAAAACAAATGTCCCAACAATACTCATCCATGTTCTCACTGTGCAGCAACTGACCACACGTTTACAAATTGTCTGCTAAAGGCCGATAAATCTTCTGCTATTTGTTATAACTGTCAAGCGCTTAATAATAAATTCCAAACTAAATTCAATATACAACACCCAGCTACTTCTCTATCCTGTCCGAGAGTAAAATCTATGAAGGAGCGAATAAGTCAACGTATCGATTATGAATCCGACAACTAAAATAAAAATAATCCAGTGTAACATAGACAGGTCTAAAAGTTGCCAACACGAATTTATTCGCTTTTTTATGGATAACGATTACTCGATAGCTTTTACTCTCGGAACCGTACATCGGAAATCTCCAGGAAATGAAATCGATACAAGGCCTCAACATATATCAGTTTCCAACTAATAATAATAATAATAAAGTCAAAGCCTGCATCATTGCCAAGCCTAAGTGCGGAGCATTGTTAGGAATCACACAATTTTCATCCTCTAATCTTTGCGTTGTACAAATAACTGTAGGTAGCAAAAAACTATATATAGCTTCCGCATACATTAAACCCAGACGCGACGAATTGGCAACACTTGAACGTGTCGATGCATTCTTAAAAGCTACTAGTGACTGTCACTGTATTTTGTGCGGAGATTTTAATGGGTGGCATCCCCTGTGGGGTAGCGATACTTCGAATCCAAGAGGGCGCGATGTGGCAGAAATCATGTTTGGAAACGACATGTATATCTGTAATACCGGCTCAACTCCAACTTTTGAGACAGTAACCCATGGAAGAAATCGCACATCAATTATAGATTTAATCTTTGCATCTGGATCCATATACGAAAATATCAGCAGATGTCAAGTCAATCTTGAGGTTTGCCCTTTATCACAACATAATGCAGTCGAAATGATATTAAACCTTTACAATACAAACCTATCAAATAATAACACATCCACCTATCAATACAAAAGTAATAAAGCAAACTGGGCAGAGTTTATATCTGCCTTGGATACCCATTTGTGTAACAGCGGATGCCTGGATGTGAACATCTCCACACTTGGTGCCACTGAACTAGAAGATTTTATAACAAAAACCACTGACATCATACACGAGACATGTCGAGCATCTATGCCTGTCAGAAAAAGCAGCGCCGAGTATAAGCCACTATGGTGGACCGACAAACTAGAAAATTATAAAAAGGAAGTAATCAGCCTTCATCATAAGATACACCAAGCTAAAAAAAGATGTCTTCTTCTAGATCAGCTGATAAAAGAGAGACAGGAAAAGAAAAAGGAGTATGCAGAAGAACTTCGGCGAACATCAACAAATAATTTCAAGGAATTTTGCCAACGCCAAAACAAAGAAAATGTTTGGTCACTTACGAACCGACTGCTAAAAGAAATCAAACGAAATCGCCCACCAAGTACTTTACAAATTGGTAACACATATACCGATAACGAAGAAGAAACTTCAAAAGCATTACTCAATCAATTTTACCCTGATGACACTCCTGATTCCATTTCCAGACACGAAGAGCTCAGAAAAGACTATAACACTTTTCCAAATACAGATAATGACCTCCCATTCAGTGAAGAAGAAATACTTGAGCACATCCAAAGTATGAACCCAAAGCGAGCACCAGGAGTTGATAATCTTACAGCCGATATTTGCACACAGTTTGCACTAGCTTACCCAAAGTTACTAACTAATATAATGAATCGATGTCTCTCTCTTCAATATTTTCCACGGCAATGGAAAATAGCTTATGTTAAAATTATTCCGAAGCCTTATAAAAATAATCCTAACGACTTAAGCGCATTTCGTCCAATTGGTCTCTTACCTGTATTTGGAAAATTATTGGAAAAAAGTTTCATAGCCAGGATCAAATATCAGGCCACAAGAAATGGCAAAATGTGCGACCGACAATTCGGTTGTAAAGAGCAGACTAACACCACAGCAGCCATATCTTCAGCTATAAAAATTGTTAAAAAAGCCAAGCAAAATAACCAACAAGTCGTAGCAGTTTCCCTGGACATCAAAGCTGCGTTTGACAACGCTTGGTGGCCTGCCTTGTTTCATAGACTTAGACATATCCAGTGTCCCCGCAACATCTTTGGGTTGATACATGACTATGTCAAAGACAGAAAAGTCACTTTTGATTATGCAGGGTATCAGACCACCAAAACTATGTCTAGGGGTTGCGTACAGGGATCAACTTGCGGCTCAACTCTATGGAATATAATATTGGATGAATTGTTAGAAATTCAACTTCCACCCGGATGTCACATCCAGGCTTTTGCCGATGACGTCTTACTAATTGTTCACGCACTGGATGTTAATAAATTACAATTAACCACTAACTCGGCATTAAACAAAATTCTCCAATGGGGACACAGTGTCAAACTCACTTTCAGCTGGGAAAAAACGCAAGCAATTGCTTTTACCGCCCCAGCTAAAACAGCGAAACTCAAAATGAACGACAATACATTACCTATAGTAAATCAGATAAAATTACTCGGAGTAATAATCGATTCAAAGCTCACTTTTAAAAACCACATTAAGTACGTTATAGATAAAGCCACCCGTATTTTCCACAAATTATGTATATATTGCCGACCCACTTGGGGGATTAATCCCGAAAATATTAGTATAATCTACCATCAAGTAATTGAACGTAGTAAGTTTGGGGTGAAGCCACTTCGAAAAAGTGTTGTAAGAAATTGCTGGAACGGACTCAACGCCCGTTTGCCCTCAAAGCTATACAAGCTTTTCGCACAGTATCCACCGCAGCAGCATTAGCTCTCGCTCAATTCACACCACTTGATCTCAAAATAAAAGAAGTGCACCAGCTTGAAAACATCCGAAGCTCTGGTAAAACCCAATATTTGCCTGAAGATATTACCTTTGAAGCCCACACCACCTCAATACCTCATACATCCAGCTTGTAGAATCAAAATATTAAAACATTTTAAGTTACATGATAGCTGTACAGTGTTTCAATCAGAACTTTTTGCCATTGACAGAGCCTGCGCATGGACTATAAAAAATAATATTAATGAAGTAAAAATATTTTCAGACAGTATGTCAGCGATTTATGCAATAAATAAACGAAGTAATACTCACCCTATTGTTACAAATATACATAACAAGATTAAAAAAATGGAGGAAACTGGTAAAATTACCATCAATTGGATTAAAACTCATATGGGTATCGCTGGGAACGAAGCAGCTGATTTAGCTGCGAAGAATGCAGCAAAATTAAAGAAGGGATGTGATTATTTAAAATTTCCGATTAGCTTTGCGAAAGCAAAAATTAAGAAAGAAAGTCTAAATCACTGGCAGCATCGTCACGCCAGTGCATTACAAGGGAAACATACACGAGAACTTTTACCCGATATTGAATCCATTAAACAGCCTTGGCAATCTACTAAAATTAATTTTAAACTCACCCAAGTATTAACTGGTCACGGTTTCCATAAGCAATATTTACATAGGTTTAAAATTTTCAACAACAATAAATGCCCTTGTAATGGTGATAGTATACAAAGTGTCGACCACTTATTAAAATATTGCGCTAGATTTCAAGCACAACGACTGGAATGGAATTTCGATGCCAAATGATGAAAATATCACCATATAAATTAAAGGAGCTGATTACAAAGGAATCCTCAATTGCATCATTCGTGGATTTCGTGAATTATATAGTTGATCAACTTAAAAGCTTTAACAGCAAGTCTTAATCTTAAGGGAAAATACGGAAATCAAATTAAATTAACAGTGCTTACTAATCAGAGGCAAAACATGTAACGAGCGAAAGCATGATAAGCCAGGTGAATTGTATACCATTAGCAATCACACGGCTTTCATGTATGTAGTGAATTATAAAATAGATTTTACGTATACTGCAAATAAACTCTTAGCGATAAATAAAATCCTATTTAACGCTAAGAGTTTATTGTATTTATATGTTTAGTGTTATTGTATATTTATCTCTTCATGAGAAGTATCCCGCGGCGCCGGAGCATAGCAACAGGCGAGCCGCTCTTTAGTAACGCGTCAACTTCCCTACGTTAAACCTGTGTCGCTCGCTGCTAGTTACTGACTACGTTGTAGTGGGTGTGGAGTTTGTTGTTATGTGTATAGATAAATAATGTTCAACACTTCGTACACTAACACATTTATTGCACAGAAATACAAAGTCACACCACTAATTATATAGTCAGAAGGAGAATGCAACACTTACAAGAAGAAACAAGCTTATAGATATAAAGAAAAGCGAAGAGAAGCTTAAGAGAAAAGAGTTAACAGGATTTATTACACACGTAAATATTTTAATAGCAAGCGTCCGTAAGCTAAAGCGACAACCTCTCTCCGTCGTAGTACGTAACTGACTGATCAAGGTACAAGGAGGCGTTGCGCTCCCGCCACTCGCTTGCAGCCGTTGCCTCACGAGATAGCACCTTATATGGTAATGAATCGATGACACCACCGGGATCGAACCTATGAGCGTCGACCAACTGGTATGATGTTATGTTATTAGTGTAAATTGTAGTTTGTTAAATGCGCGCGTGTGTGTGTGTGTGTGAATGTATATTTATGTTATATATTATGTATAGGTTGCAAGTTCCCCACGACGTAATATTTCGTGCCGAACTTAATTAGTGTTGATTATCAGTCGCAAATTTGTAAGGAATTGTGTGTCCGTAATAAATAAGTTCATAAAGTGATTACGAACATTTTATTTATATGTGAAGGGACCTTAATTACATATAGGTGTATATAAGATAGCGGACCATCATCTATAATATATCAAAAGACGCGTAATTTTACGCTCTTTGTGATGGTGAAAACAGATTGAAGCTGAGGTTCTCGCATTTTTCTTGCCTGCGATCGATTTTTGATCGAGGACGTATAGTTTTCAATAGTCTTTTAAATGCATATATGACAGTTCTAAGTGTTTACAAAATTTCATAATTTTTGGTTAAGGAAAAACCGAAATATTAACATTTATCCTAACTACTCGTGTTCGGTCATCTTAAGTTGGAGGGATGTGTTATATATCAAAAGACGCAGAATTTGACCCTCTATAACATGGTGAAAACGGCATGAAGCAGTGATCTCAGAAAAAAAAGTTATTTAAAAAAAAGTGAATTAAAATCAATATTTTCTGGCCTAAGTCCTATTTTTCGTTATGTAATATATAGTTTTTATTAGTGGAATAGGTGGACACATATAAGATCCAAGTGCATACCAAGTTTGAAAATTTTCTGTGCAGGAAAAACCGAATTTCCAAAGGTTTTCCATAAACCACGTGGTCAGCCATCTTGGAAACCAGAAGCGTGCGGCTGGTTCTGAAAGTGGATTATTAAGAACATTAATCAGCTAAACTTTCCTATGTAAATAGATTTTCCCTTACTTGCACCGTTTAGCCAGAAATTGACTTTTCTTCATACTTCAATAAGGTACTGTACTTTTCAAATTTAATATCTTGTGAAGGGATACTCCAAAAATTATGACTTTAGTATCAACAGATATTGCATTTTATATACTACAAACCCTCCAAATTTTATAATTTTGTGCAAAGTAGTTCAAAAGTTGCAATCTTTTTTCCAAAATTTAAAATTGTTTTCCGACAAGAAGTTCAATTTTTCCACTTTCAAATATAATTATCTCAGTAACGGTGCAAGATAGGTCAATTCTGACGTCATTTTTGGCAGGTATGTATAATATATATATATATATTATATAGCCCCTCTGGACCTTCAGAACCCCCCCACCCCCCACCCCCTACGTCTAAGTTCATGATCCCATAGTCCTATGGGACATAAAAACCAAATTTAATTTTGTGAAAAGACTTTGAGACTATAAAATGGCACCACCTTATAGTTATACTAGTTCGATTAATTCTACTTATTAAATTAACACTTTTTAAACCAAAACATAAACTACTTATAGACAATTTTTTTTAACTTATAAATCTTGTGTCATAAACTTTATATACAAACTCATATGTTCTGTGTGAATATGGCGCCATCGCAGGGTGACACTCCTTCCCTCCCGGCCTCAGCCGAGGAGGTCAAGGACTTAGCTTCGTTCACCAGTGTCATCAACAAGCTGACCTCATGTGTTGGCGCTGCCATTAATGAAGGGAAAAGCGTAGCGAATAAACGCTTAATAAGCCTGGCCATGGAGGAAATTCGGCGGGCCACCAGAACCCTTAACAGCGTTAACACCACTGCCTCCTCCAGCACATCAGCCCTGGGGGAAATTAAGGCTTGTGTCCGGGAAGAGATGGCCAGTTTTAAAAAGTTGGTCAATACTACTGTGAAAAAACCAACGTACGCCCAAGCTACTGCTGCAGCCAGCGGGCTAGCATCGTCGACGGGAGGGCCCGCCCCCCGCGCTGCTCCACCTACTTCAAAGCCTGCAATCATCATCACCCCGGCTAAGGATGTGAAAACGCGTCAGGAGGCTGTGGAAATTTTTAAAAAGTGTATTTCCTATAGGAACTCGACTTATGCGCCTACAAGAGTACAACCTGTCTCAAATAATAAACTCCGTGTGGAGTTTGAGAACGCGACTCAAAGGGACGACACACTCACCAGGCTCGAGAATAGCAAGGAGGTAAAAGCAGAACCCGTGCGTATGCTCAAGCCTATGGTTATTCTGAAGGGCATCTCTAAGGATGTTCCTTCGGAGGACCTGGTTAAGCTAATCAGCACTCAGAATCCTGAATTAACCCACCTGATTGACAGTGAAAGTCATGACAGCGAGAACTTCCGACTCCGTTTTAAACGTGCGAACCGCAATAGCAATTTATATAACGCGGTATTCCTGGCAGAGGCTAAAGTATATTGTAAGATTCTCGACTTGGGGAGGGTTTGTGTGGACCACCAGAGGGTCACTGTGAACAGCTTCTCCCCATTTTTACAGTGCCACAAGTGCCTTCAGTTTGGGCACATGAGATCAAAATGCAAATCAGAGGATAGTCCGTGCTCGCATTGCGCTAGCAAGGAACACCAGATCGATAGATGCCCAGTTAAAAATAATCCCAATAGTGTTAAATGTGTAGCGGCGCTGTCGTCGCGCCACAAGCGAAAACACACCGAAGCCTAAATCGCGCTATCAAAATTCCGAATCATAAACAGTATATATAGAACTTCTCCGAACTATCACACGGAGTGTTGGCCGCTCCCCGGGCAGAACACCTTGCCCGGCGGTAGATCTCCCCTTTTTCTACCACGGCCACAAATGCTTTAACTGCTCATCCCATAATGCCAAGTTTAATTTGAAAGATGACTGCAAACACACCGCCAATTCAGATAAATGCTCCAGACTGCGAGCCATGAAAGACAGAATTATCCAAAGAATCGATTATGGATTTACATCATAAAAATATTAAGTTTTTTCAGTGCAATATTGATCGCTCGAAGAACAGTCTACACGAATTATTAGTATCTTTCATGGCTGGTAGCCATGACATTGTCTTATTATCAGAACCGTATGTTGGATCGGGTCTGGAACTCAAAGCTTTTCACGGTGTCCAAGTTATAAAGTTCCCATCATCGGATGCTAGGGTTAAGGCCTGCATTCTTGTCAGGCCTGGGTGTGGCTCCATAATAGGGCTTACACAATACTCCACACCTAATCTCTGTGTAGCTCGCCTCTCAGCTGGGAATCGTGTTATATACATAGCATCAGTATACATCGAACCGGACAGAGATGAGTCAGCCACTCTGGACAAACTGACACAAATTGGGGGTGACTTTAACGGTTGGCATCCCATTTGGGGCAGCCCAGTCGCCAATGCTAGGGGTGGGGACGTGGTCGACCTAGTGTATGGCAATGGGTTGGTCGTCTGTAACACTGGCGAATCGCCTACTTTTGAGAAGATCACCCATGGCCGCCACCGGGAGTCGATTATTGACATCACACTAGCATCTGAATCGATGTACCATCTCGTATCGAAATGGCAGGTCAACCCCCCAAATATGTACCTCATCCCAATACAATGCCATAGAATTTTGTCTTAATAGTCCCAACTCTGATTTATACACAAACAACAACACATCCACCTTCATTTATAAATCAAAAAAGGCTTGCTGGCCTATATTTAATGAAACTCTGTACAATCTGACATCTTGAACACCAACATATCTGCCCTGAATCCCTTTGAGCTGGATGATCTCATAGCCAAAGTTGTGGAGATTATCTACATTGCTTGTCGTAAAAGCATGCGTATGGGGGGAAAGGAGGGGAAATACAAGCCCCCTTGGTGGTCTGAAGAGCTAGAGGCTCAGAAACTTGAAATAATAAAATTGCATCATCGCATACAGGAAGCCAAGAGACGCGGTCTAGCCATAGAGGACTTTCAGTTGAGCAACACATAACACTCAAAACAGCATACACACAAAATTTAAGAGCTGAGTCCACCAGAAATTTTAGGAATTTTTGCAGCCTCCAAACCAAGGAGAATGTTTGGTCCCTAACTAGCAGATTGTTAAAAGAGTCCACTGCTAGACGTCCACCAACTACTTTAAAAATAAATAACAAGTTCACGGCTGATACTCGTAATTATGAAACTGCAACCGCGTTGCTCGACCACTTTTATCCCTCCGATCTACCCAACACCGATCCCCGACATCATGAGTTATTAGCCCATCTTGATGATATATTGGACACCAATGACGAGCCGCCTTTCACTTCAGAGGAGGTGCTGGAGCACTTAAATCTTTGAACCCTAACAAGGCCCCGTGGTTGGACAACCTAACCTCGGATATTTGTCTTCAGTACGTTAAGAATTACCCACAATTATTAACTGATATATTGAACAGATGCCTTGCGCTCCAGCATTTTCCTGACTGCTGGAAGGTGGCTTATGTTAAAATCATTCCCAAACCAAGCAAGAGCGACTATGGAGAATTAAATTCTTTTCGTCCCATTGGGCTGCTGCATGTGTTTGACAAACTGCTGGAAAGACTTTTCATCAAGCGCGTCACTTACTGGGCGGCTAACAACAGCCACAGCTATTCACGACAGTTTGGTTTCCGTGAGCAAACTAATTCGACCATGGCCATGGACACTGCGCTTGATGTGATCCGTCGGGCTAAAGACAATGGAGAACTGGTAATCGCATTCTCCTTGGACATCAAAGCGGCTTTCGATAATGCCTGGTGGTCGGCACTGTTCCACAGGCTGAGAACAATTAATTGCCCACGCAACATCTATGGACTCATTCGTAGTTACGTTCGGAACCGCATGGTGACTCTTGATCACGCAGGGTTCAGAGTCACCAAGATGATGACCAAGGGGTGCATCCAGGGCTCTGCTTGCGGCCCGGTATTGTGGAACATCATTCTCGATGAACTGCTTGAGAGTGCAGCTAACGCTGTGCTCTCGCGTATCACTGACTGGAGGTCAAGTGTCAAATTGGTGTTTGGTCCCTCTAAAACACAAATGATCGCATTTACACCTGGTGCAAAGCCTGCGAAAATCATTATGGATGGACACACTTTAAAATTTTCCCCTGATATCAAATTGTTGGGTGTCATACTGGATGAAAAACTGCTATTCAATAAGCACATCCGGTATGTCATCAGCAAGGCGATTAAAATCTTCAACAAACTTTGCTTACACCAGACCTACCTGGGGTGCTCACCCGGAGAATATACGAGCCATATACCAACAGGTAATCGTACCTATTGTCACATATGCCTCTAGTATATGGGGACATGTCGTCTCGAAGAGAGGGGTCAGAAAGCGGCTGTAGAGTATGCAGCGAGGATTTGCCATCAAGGCGATTAAGGCATTCCGTACGGTCTCTACGGCGGCTGCTCTGGCCCTAGCACAATTCATACCAATTAACCTAAAACTCAAGGAGGTTCATGCAGTAGAAAGGACTAGATTGTCTTGCACATCAGACTTTCTACCGCATGACAAAACTTTTGAAAAACCAACTGCACTACACAAACTCTTGCACACCAGTGAGAGGATCACTATTGATTATGACACCGTACATAGCCAGCAAGAGGTGGACACCGTCATCAGTCCTGACTCGGTCTGTATTTACAGACAGTCTGTATTTATTTTAAGCAAGAGGACGGGGCGGTTGGGGCTGCCTTCGTTTGCTACGTGCCGGCGGTCAATTCACCCATCACTATTGTTAAAAAATATAAACTGCATGACTCATGCTCGGTGTTCCAAGCTGAGCTGCTTGCCATTTATAAGGCTTGCAACTGGACACTCAACAATAATAACAAGGAAACTGTCATATTCTCTGACTCACTTTCTTCTATCAAAGTCCTACAAAATAGAAGCAACACACACCCTATTGTTGTAGACATCCATAAAATAATTCATGAAATCAAGAAGATTGGCAGCATTAAGCTAGTGTGGGTGAAAAGTCACGTGGGCATTGTGGGAAACGAGGTGGCGGACGAGGCCGCCAATGCTGGCTGTAAATTACACAAAGCACCAGACTACACACATTTTGCAATATCACACATTAAACACTTAATACGCAGCAAACACTGCGCCCTATGGCAGACCCGCTATGAGAGTGCGGACCAGGGCAGGCACACTAAATCACATCTTCCCACTCTTGAGAACATCATCACACTCAATAAAATCACTTGTCCCAACTTTCACCTAACCCAAGTTCTAACCGATCATGGTTTTCACAAGTCATACTTATACCGTTTTAAGATAACCCCTGATGACAGATCCATGCGACGAAATTTCAACTCAAACGTTGGAACATCTTTTGGAGAAGTGTCCCGCGCTCGGAGTACAAAGAGCCATCCACAAGACGATATGTGCCAGTGTGAGAGTGTCGCCCCATAAAATCATTGACTTATTGAAAAAAGAGTCCAGCTGGAACTCCTATATGATTTACATTAAGCATATATTTACACGTCTTAAACATTTTAATAATAATAATAACAATTAGGATTTATACAACAGTTAATATACTTTTTACTTCATTATATTTATTTTCATTCTTGTTTATTGTATTCCAATTTTGTTTTATTATAACCTCTTTTTATGTTATTAATTCTACATATTAAATTCAATTTAGCTATAAGATATTTTATGTTATTTTGTTACTTCAATTAATTGTATTAGGAGCAGTCTAGTTAGTAGGTTCCATTTTACATCTCATACTATTTTTTTACCTTTCTTTTTTTATATTGAGCAATATTAATTATTGCGCCTAGAGACTACTGTAATCAACTACTACCATAAGTGATATCGTAAAATTGCAAAATTGTAAATTTAAGTTTCTATCATGACAGTGTACCACCTGCAGAAATTATTATTTTAGTTTAAGTTGTCTTTTACTTTCTTAAACTGCCTTCTACTATTTAGTTTAACATACTGTTAGTTTTTAAATATTTTTTTTTCTACGACAGCGTGCTAATACTAGAACTGTTATTTAGTATAACTTGTTTTCTGTCAGCATATATTTTATTTTACCATTTAATTATGTACAAAAATTGTATATAAGAGTTTTATTTTACGAAAGACAAGGCGATAACTATAGCTATATTAGTTCCTGTTTAAATTTATTGTTTAACTTTCTTATTATTATTTTTTTTCTTTTCTTTACTTTTACTTTTAAGCAAAGTGTACATTGACTGTATCCAATCGAAGTCAATTTGTATCATTTTGTATTTGTGGAAAAAATATTGTCCTTATAAGAGACTAACTTAAAGTAAACTTTGTGGAAATGGTCAATACAGTCCCTCTGGAGGTGGTGTAACCCCCGGAGGAAAAAAAACCTAACCTAACCTAACCTTTTTTTTTACGGGGGGAAATCCTCATGGATTGCCTCTGCCTGGAGAAAGGCGGAGGGTTGTGCCGGACTCTTACCGCCTAAAACCACCCCGGTGTCTCCTCGCACGTGCACGCGAGGGGCCGCGGGAATTCTTCCGCAGCCCCACACTAGTGCTGGCCCGGTCTGTACGGGCCTCGTCTCCTGCACGGGGTAGTGAGGTGTTCAACTACCCCGTGTATCACCTCAGAGGCGCGCGCCGATACCCACGCGTGCCTCCGCCTCAGGTCCATCGAATAGGGGGGCGGGGGCTTCCTCTAGTCCCTCGCCCCTGGACTCATTCACGGGGGCTGGAAAAGGGCGTTGTCCGCCCTTCTCCTGCGCCCGGTGCGCCTTCTGCGGCCAGGGAAGGGAGTGGAGATCTCCCTCTCCCGTTCCGCAGTTTCCTTCTGCGACATCACGTCCTCACAGAAGGACACCATTGCATCCCACGATTCTGAGCTACCGACCATCCTCCGCACTTAGGCCGACAGCGACAGATCTCCTCCTACTTCATTTGTGAGGACACGGCGCTGCTCCTCCCAAGCTACACACTCGGCGAGCGTGTGTTGCGCCGTATCCTCCCGCAATGGACGCAGTGGTGGCACCGAGCGTCCGACTCCCTGTCTATGCGGCACAGGTACTTGCCAAAGCAGCCGTGCCCCCGACAGCACCTGCGTCACCCTAAACGACAGGGAGCCGTGCCTTCTCCCGAGCCAGTCGTCGAGTACTGGCCGGATCGCCTCGACGATAGCGAGGCCGGCGGTAGGGCGCAGAAGCCTTTGCCTCCATTCCACCACCAAGACCTGGCGGAGCTCCTCTCGGCGCAGCGCGATCTGTCGCTGCACCGGCCTCGAGCCCCGTCCCCGCTCTTCCTCGCGCCATCGATATAATGACGCGAGTACTTTCGCCTCTAGGTCCCAGGGCGGGGATCCGGCCAGGACGCAAGCCGCCTCATAGGAAATCGTGCGATACCCGCGGATGACTCTGATGGCCATCGCCCTCTGCGGTTTGCGCAGAATGGCGAGGGTGCTGGCCGTCATGTCCATCGCCCATACAGGGGCCCCATACAGGGCCATGGACCGCACGATTCCCACGTACAACCGCCTACAGGCGGC